TTGAAAGGTTCGACTCACAACCTAAATAATTAATTTAGTTTTGCGAACTTCACTTGCGCTCTTCGCCGACAATAGCCCCCGTTTCAGTTTTCCAAATGTAGGTTGTCTGCCAGTAATGTTTCTTTATATGTACACATAATTTATGAAGAGACAAAGGGGCAAATTCCCCGAAACCTTCATTGCAAAAATAAAAAATACAAGCTAAAAAGGTCTATTGCATCCAGGAATTATTATTTGCATATACAATTGTCTTCCTAAGTATAGCTGATTATCCCTTTAAAAAGATTATTGAAACAGATCTATTTTGGATTATATTTGACTGAAAACCTTTGAAATGAAAATGTTTAAAGCTGGGGAATGGCTTGTCAATCTTTAGTAGATGGGTCATGGATGGGTAGATACACAACTAGCACAAGTCCCTCCATTATTCAGGCAAGGCTTATTCCCTGATGTCTGGTAGGCCGGGTGGCGTCGACGCGTCCTACTAGGTACATAAGGCCATGAAAGATGGAGTAAAGTATTTCATATTTCATTACAGCTCCAGGCGGCTGCAATGTTCCCATACATCGTGGTTCTGGAGGGATTGCCAATGGAAACAACCGTCCCAGGGGTCATAGTTTTGAAGTCAACGTTGGACAGCAGAAGCGAGACGGTAGCCACTGGAATGTGAGGTACAAAAACAACCGAGACGAGCACAATATTAATGTCAACGCAGGGCAACAGAAACCTAATGGAGATCATTGGAATGTTGATTATACTCATGATATGAAAGAAAATAAGTAACCTTAGAGAATCAAGGCAACCATGCAGTTGAACAAATTGATAAGACGTAAATATGGTAAATTAAAACTCAAAGTACGGTAAACCTTAAACTTAAGTTGATTAAATCATGATCTGATGTAACTCGCAAAATAAATGGCTAAATAAACTTTTATCGTTGGTAAAATGTTTTTGACTGGTTTGTTACTTGTTGTGCATTTCTTTCTTTTTCTCATAGTTATTAAAGTAGATGGTTATATATGAAACCCGTTAGACTCCTTTGTTATATATGTTTTTGTTAGGCGTTAGGCGGTATTTTGGACCTGACCGTGCACAACGTTCAGTAGTATTCCTATCATTTGAAGTTACTGACCAAAAGAAACATCGCATTATTTATTCTGTCACAATTTGTGAACAAAAAACAAAGGATTGTGCACAGTCAGGGAGCTTCCAACATAAACTACAGCACCATTGTTTTCAACTTTGATGTTTGTCGGCTTTCATAACCAGTCTTCTCTACTAACTATGCTTTTTTGAATCTTTCCTGATATATTGGAAGTTAAATATCCATAATGGGAAAGTCGTGGAAGTTATCTTCAAAGACTTTCGTAAGGCTTTCGATCTAGTAAATAACGAAGTTTTGAGATATAAACCTGTAAGCTAGCGGTTATTATAGGAACCTTTTGCAGCCTTTTTCCACTTTGTAAATGTAAACAAAACTCATTTTCTCGCCAGTGGAACGCGCGTCTCTCGGCCGTGAAGGTCTGGGATATAATTGAAAACAGAGAATGCGCAGCAGTCGTTCACGGCTTCAGCAAGTCGCGGACAACGTTTGAGTGCATTAATAGGGACCTTTAGCATCACGTTTTTCATGGAAACTGCAAACCGCAAACCGCAAAATGTCACGTGACCACGGCCTTGCGGTCACGTTTGCAGTTTGCAGTTCACGTTTGAACCGCAGGAAGGGCTTGCAGCGGTAAGTGATTTACGGCAAGGTTTTTTGCCACAAAAAATTGTACAGCCTCGCGTTTAAAGGTATGAACTAGCTTTTTATATCCGTTTGCGATGTGTTTGTTGGATTTTTGATCTCGAATCAATGAATTATTGCTGAGTTTTGGGCGATTAAAGTGATGCACTTCGACTTGATGAAAACAACATGGCGACCCTAAACAATCAATCAATCAATCAATCAACAACTTTATTTAAGCGTCTAATCTTCTAGCTTGCGTCAGGCGTACTAAGATGAACGCGTACTTCATACTTTCTGCCGTACTAACAAAGGAAAGTATTCTGTTCCAATCTAGAGTTAAATTTTTTTCAATCTTGTTACTGAATTCATAACTTAACCCAGTCTCTGTTTAGTTCCTATTTTTAACGTATCACTCCGCGAATTTCATTTTATTTTGCTTATTTCTTTAAGACTGGGGAGCCCAGGCTTCATAAAGCCTTCTGGTTTCTTTTGGGCTCCCTTGCAGCCTTACAATTCCTGTATGTATTCTTGTATTGTGTTATATTTTGGCTAAATAGAAATGAACTGAACTGAACGCCTTGCTAAAGTTTGAAATCTCGGCAACGCGAAACTGCAAACGCGTAACTGCGGTTTGTGGTTTGCGGTTTACCTGATGCTAAAGGTCTCTAATACGAACACTTTCACGTCCAAGGTAAGCCGCAGCTTGGATAAGCCCACCCCAAAACCCCTCGAGCCGGCCTTTGGTTGAATAAGCCGTGAACATAGATTTTGTACCATTTCTACGGGGTGTTCGCGTCTTATGTAAGCCGCGGCTTATTTTCTCTTGTATAAACGGCCCTAATGTAATGTTTCAAGTGTAGAAATACATCTTTATGCAGATGATACCACTGCTTTTGGGATTGACGTTACGATCGATCAGGTTTCTCAATTAAAATATTCTTCGCTCTAATATCTGTTCGTGGTATGAATTAGATAGACTTACCATACATCCTAACAAATGTGAGGCTATCTCTAGAAAGCAATTTATGGGTCCTTTACAACCAGTGCCGTTGTGGAACCCTCGTTATAGACTTTTCTAGAGTGGTGAAATCGTTAGGCTTACCCATAGACAATAAACGGCTCTCCTGGGACATCATCTTGATAAACTATCCAAAACGTTTCTCAGCTCAGCTAGCTATGCTGAGGAAGATAAGATTCCTTCCAACAAAGTAGCTAGAAAACATCTACTACAAAATGATTTTGCCAAATATCGCTTATTTTCTAGCCTAAAATCATGTGTCACAATCATATGGAAGGATATGTAAACCCTTGAATATCATTGCCTTTGCTCATGCATGCGTCTTAGGTGTAAGCAAGCTACTGGACCGCGTAAGCAAGTTTTGGTTTCAGGACTGTTATATTTGTTCCCAAAATATAGCAGAGCTAATAGAGAGATTTAGGATCACGTGAATATGTACCACGTGACCAAGTTTTCCCTTTACTCGTCGTTTACTGTTTATTACTTCTACCAAAAAAATAGTTTCACACAAGTTTTACCCATAATAATTAGTTAGCCCAGTTTTTATCTGTTCATTTTCTATTTCGGGAAATTTTCAACTTGAATCAGGCTGACGTCTGCCGTTTGATGTAAACGTGCCTCTAAATCTCTGTAGTATCGCACTTTCTACCAACCTGATAATTGCGTTCGAGGTACGAGAACGCAACCCTAACTTGTGTTGGGTGTCCTCTGCATTATTGGGTGTCCTGTGCAACTAATAAGGGAGGTTTTTTCGAGATTGCTTTCGTCGTCGTCGTCGACACACATTTGCCTCGCTTTGAAGCGCTTGCTTACGTTTTGCCTCACTTTGACGCGCTAACTCACCTGGTGATTCGAGTCAGTCCTCGGCGTTCATCTTTCAAACATTTGCTGAGGTCTGCTAATCAGTCTTCGTAAATCGTTCATCTTTAAAAGTGTACTGAATTTTCGTAAGGCGTACATATTTAAGAGTACTATCGATCTGTGTTTAATGAATCTTCCAAAGCGTTCATCTTTCAAAAGTGTGCTGAAAGTTTACACCCTGAGTAATTTTTACTTTAGATTAAGCCTTCATATTTTTTTTTTAGAAAATGCGTGCTACTCCTGGTGCATGCATCAAACCGGGTAGTTTAACTCGGCATCCGTTGTGCCACAAAGTAAATTTACCGGCGAGTTGTGAAGCTCAGCGTCTGTTGTGCCACAAAGTAAATCTACTGAGTTGTTTAGCTAGGTGGCCGTAGTGCCACAGAGTAAATCTACCGAGTTGTGTAGCTCGGCGGCCGTTATTCCACAAGGTAAATCTACCGAGATGTGAAGTTCGGCGGCAGCATTTCATCATGACGTGTGATACTTTCAGCACTGGACAAACGAACATTTCAGACAGGCATTTTACAGGGTCGTAACGAGGTATATTTTCTGCCGCCTGATTCCACATTTCGACCTTAAATCTTGATCCCTGACCCCATGAAAATTTTTTGATCCCTGGATTCAATCTGGGTTGGATTAGCTGCATATCATATAAAAACCACTGAAACTGGACGCCTCTAGTCGAGCATCACCATTTAACTATCCTTGTAGACTACTCATACTAGTGTGCGTACAGCTGTAGCTTCAGGGGCGTAGCCTGCGATCTTGAAGGTGTACGATGCGGTGTCGAAGATTTGCATCACCGAAGGCGACCCAGCCTAGGCGTGTCAAGGGGCATGCTCCCCCAGAAAATTTTCTAATTTAGGGTCTCGGAAATGCTATTTCCAGCAATTTCTCCAGTGATTTGATACGCAGGAAGATTCGCTTAGTTAGTTATTGTTTACTTTACCCATCGTTAGAGTTGTTGGTACGGTACAGTCTTTACGACAAAAAAAAAAAAGACAAGTGACACCCTCAGAATTGCGGAATAATAAAGGGATAACTGAGTAATCACTAACACAAAGTCACCAATATAGTGCGAACGAGGTATCAGTCGTCTCGATTTTCAAGTGATAGAAATGCTTTTTCAGGAAATAATTTGTATTTTCTTGTCTTAGCTGTACGGGCGCATGTGCGTATATGGACGCTACACTCCTCGTAACTCCTGTTGCAGCAAAATGAGATCCAAATAAGGTCTCTTTGGGCAAAGACTGGCTTGACCAGCGATCAAAGTAGCCACAGAATTCTACAAGACCAAGATGATAAGAGAATCCCCATCGCAATAGGCGTATGAACAGCAACGACTTACAAAGCTAGCATAAAATTGAAAAGGTGTAGCGACAAGAAATTTAAAAGGAATCTGGCTGCACAATTTTGCATCAATTTTTTTCCAGATTTATGGGGATTTTGTTTCCTGGATTTTGGACGATTCGGCAAGATCGGGATTGCACACAGATTAGTACCGGATCCAAATGTGACAGCAAATTTACAAGAAAACGTTGACAGGTCCCTCCAATTAAGGCGCATTTCAGAATTTTGTGGTCTTGGTTGTTATATTCGAGAGACGAACCGGATCCCTGATCCCCGCTACTGATCCTGATCCCACGGCTTGTGATCCCAGATCCCGTCGCTGTGATCCCTGGTACCTCGTTACGACCCTAATTTTAGCTAGGCAGGTACAAAAGTCGGCGGCCCGGATCAACTCGGATCGAATAAAAAATAAAAAAAAAATAAAAGTGGACTCGGATCAACTCGGATCATAAAAAGAAAAATAAAATCAGTCGGCGTCACTTACCTATCACCCGCCATTTTGTTTTTTTCTCACGAACTCGTGGTTGCATAAATTAATTTTGTTTTTCTTTTTATTAATTTTAATGATACACTAGTAAGCAGCACACATACACTTCCTGTGAACATTTTCAACTTGGAAGGAGGAGAAGCCATGCTCGCCCGGGACAAAGGATATTTTCATGCCCCGGGCGAGAATCGAACTTGCGACCCGGCTTCATTTTGCCAACAAGTTGATGATTGGACGCTCTTAAAAATAACTGAGAAAATTATCCAAAGAAACGTTTTTAACAAAAGGAAAAGAAACCCGGGTTAAGCGCTGATCGGTCTTCGAACAACTGCGCC